ATTTATATCCACTCAGATACCAGCTTAGACGTGTCTGAAAAGGAGTGGAAAAAAAGTGAAGATTTATAGAAGCTATAAATCCCTTTGCTCAGCAATGCAGAAAAAATTGTGTGGATTGTAACGCATTCCCCATTTCTGTTTTGTAGAGTTGAAATGTACTTTAAGTATATATAAGACGTTCTGGATGAAAGAATTGTAATAGTCTGTATTAGGCAAGAGAACTGCCTGGTCCTCCCTCTGCCTCTAAAAGTGTGGCTTGAATTCCAGCCTGATGGAAAGCAATAGGCAAGAATGTCCACTTCTTTCAGAGAGGCCCAGATTTCATTCCTGAAATGGTTTCTCAGCCTTACGGGAAGAAGCATACTGTTTCTAAAATGTGGTCTAACAAAATACTTGTTCACTGTCAGGAGTGAAAAATGGTTTTATCCATTTGAAACCATGGAGATTTAGAGTAATAACAGTACAATGATTTCACTGGAATTTAGTAGCTGGAACAAGCCCTTCCCAACTGTTTTAAAATGGACTGCAGTATGATTATGGTTGCACATGACCTGCTGACAGCACGAACAGTAACTTCTTGTATCACGCTTTGCGAAGGAGGCCGTATGGCTGCCCACTGAGTACTGAATGCACATTAAGTGTCCTGATTCTGTGTTGTTGCAGGGAGATTAGTTAGACTTGACAGTCTGGAAATACTGTTTGCTGTTTTTTCTATGCGTGTGTGCATGTGCATAAATTGTAGAATCATAGAATGATTTGGGTTGGAAGGGACCTTAAAGCTCATCCAGTTCCAAACCCCTGCCATGGGCAGGGCCACCTTCCAATTCACAGGTTGCTCAAAGCCCTGCCCAGCCTGGCCTTGAACACTGCCAGGGATGGGACATCCACAACTCTTCTGGGCAGCCTGTGCCAGTGTCTCAGCACCCTTATAGTGAAGAATTTCTTCCTCATGTCTAATATAAGTCTACCCTGTTTCAGTTTAAAGCCATTTCCCCCTTGTCCTGTCACTACATGCTTTTGTAAAAAGTTCCTCTCCAGATTTCTTGTAAGCTCCCTTTAGGCACTGGAAGCTGCTCTAAGCTCTCGCTGCAGCCTTCTCTTCTCCAGGCTGAACAAGCCCAACTCTCTCAGCCTATCTTCATAGGAGAGATGCTCCAGCCTCTGATCATCTTTGGCCTCTTCTGGACTTAATCCAATAGGTCCATGTCTTTCTTGTGTTTAGGGCCTCAGAGGTGAAAACAGTACTGCAGGGGGGGTTCTCAGGAGAGCAGAGCAGAGGTGGAGAATCTCCTCCCTAAATTTGCTGGTCACGTTCCTCTTGATGCAGCCCAGCACTGCCAGCTTATGTTGAGCTTCTCCTTAACCAGCACTCCCAAACCCTTCTCAGGGTGTTCTTAGTCCATCTACACCCATGTGATGTATCTGTGTATGGTTTTATTTCGTGTTCATAGGAAGCTACGAAATACACAAAGAAACTACTCTTTCAAGCAGACAAACACAGAAATAATGAGGTAGTATGAAACTGACTAATAAAAAAATCACTATGTCTTTTATTACTACAGTGTCATTACAGTGTAACGGTGTATTGGATGATATTGTCATTCAAAACAGAGAATGTATTAATGCAGAGGCCTATAACCATAGCTAAACAGGATAGGGAGATACATAGAATCATAGAATAGTTAGGGTTGGAAAGGACCTTAAGATCATCTAGTTCCAACCCCCCTGCCATGAGCAGGGACACCATGCACTGAACTATGTCGCCCAAGGCTCTGTCCAGCCTGGCCTTGAACACCGCCAGGGATGGAGCATTCACAACTTCCTTGGGCAACCTATTCCAGTGCCTCACCACCCTCACTGTGAAGAACTTCTTCCTTAGATCTAACCTAAAGTTCCCCTGTTTAAGTTGGAAGCCATTACCCTTTGTCCTTCCACTACAGTCCCTAATGAAGAGTCCCTCCCCAGCATCCTTGTAGGCCCCCTTCAGATACTGGAAGGCTGCTATATGTTAATTACCTGTTAAAACCCTTCAAAAGAATACAACAGTTTACACTGACTTGCAATCAAAATAGAAACCTCTGTCAAAAAAGCCTGTGTTTTGTATTTGTTTTCTACAGCCATGCACGTGGTTTGTAGATTACTGCTGTTACGTGTTATCGTCCCTGAAAAGATGCTCAAAGCTCATCACTGCTATAGTGCCTATGCCTAATTAACACTAAATCTCATTTTGTCTGTACATGAGAAGACTAGAAAGTTTTGAAAAGAGGCACTAGTTTATATGAGCTCATGTAAGTTTTGCTGCTTTTGTATACATGATAGAGAGAAATTAATTTTTCTCATTTTCTTTACAAAGAGCAAGATAAAAACCCAATCTTGCTCCTTACAATGTTCCTAGAATAGCCTTATAGGTACAGAAGATGGACTGAAACTATCCTTGGAGTACCTTGTGCCAGCCTAAATGTACAAACTTTGATTATTATATCCAGCAACAATTATAGTATCTTAGTATATGTTTCCAGGTCTCAGCTCCAGCATCATTAGAAGAGGAAGTATCACAGTCCCTCATCACTTAAATCCAGATAATGGTAGTGGGCTCTTTTTTTTCCCCTGCTCTTTTTTGTTCGTTTTTTATGTTTTGGTTTGGTTTGGGGTTTTGGTTGTTTTTTTTTTTCCTTTTGTTTGGGGCCTTCAGCGGAGCCTCTGCTGAGGATGATGCTTTGTGAGAGGTGTTATCCATGACTCATTTTCTCTCCACACCTAGACAGGTTCACACCACCTCCTTCACAGGCTTTTGGAATCTGAACATTGTTTTAAATGTTTTCTCACTTTGGTGCTTTCTCACTGTGGCACTTCATCCATAGCACAATTACTCAAGCTGTCTCAAAGTATCAACACAGAGCAGAGCTGTGCTTTAGGAAGCTGGAAATAGGTACTTCAAAATGGTCCTACTGAAAAAAAGAAGTTTTTAAATAACTTTCTCGTGGTTTTATTTACCTCAAAACATGCAAGTAGGAGGAACTTTTAGGATCCCATGATCAGACTGTCCCCTTTACAAATCACTCCCTGATACAGTAGTTGTCTTTTCTCTTTCTGGAAAGCACATTGTGGCATACCTGCTATACACAACAAGCTAGCCAAGCGAAAGGCGGTGGCTTGCTGCCATGCTCTTGTGTTTCTTCTGCTACACGGAGCAGTGGGGCTGGTGGAGACCTCACAAAAGTTGCTTGTCTCTTCCTGTGCATGGAGAGCCCAGACTGGCCTGAGGAGCCAGCTGACTCATTCTGCAAAGTGTCCAGTGAGGACATCCCAAAATCCATAGGCAGACTGTCCCACTGATCAGGTAGAAAGCTTTTTGTAATGTATGGCTTAATTGTTCCTTATGCTAGTAAAAGGACATTCCTGCCCATACCCAGTGTGACTATGGTGGGTCGGCTGCTGCTCCCTGACCAGCAGAACAGGGGAGAAAACAGGAGGAACATAAATAAGAAAACTCATGGGTCAAAATAACAGGAGGGAAATCACTCACCAAGGACTGTTGCATGCCAAGCAGACTCAGCTTAGGGAATTCGACTTAATTTATAGCCAGTTAACATAAATATTGAATTACTGATTCAGGTTTTGGGAAACAAGACAAGACAAATATTAAAATACTTCAGGGGGGAAAACATCTTTCCTTTTCTGAGGCTCACTGCACTGCAGGCACCCTTCCTCCCCACTTCCCCATCACAGTCTCACTCCAGCCACCCCTCCTGCACCTTGTCGTGGCTGCAGGTGATGCTCGGTCCCTTCAGAGAGGCCCTGTGTGGTGCACAGTTGGGGTTGGGATATCACAGTTTTTCTCTCCTCTTTTCTTGCACTTTTCCTGTTCTCCACAGGCTGCAAGTCTCTCTGGGAGTGTACCTGCTCCTCCTCTAGCGTTGGTATTCCTCATTCCCTTGTCCTCTGTTGTGGACCCAGCTAGAGCTGGGCATACTCGCCGGGAGACAACTCCTCACAGAGTCTGCCCTGCAGCCTCCTGCTAGTGGAACTTTTCCGTAGACACCCAATGGTTGATCACTGTCCTCTATTTTAATTACTTCTATATATTGAAGATTGTTTTGTTCCTCCACAGGTGGCCTTTTTTCTCCAGATTAACTAAGTGCACTTCCTTCAGCCTTTACCCATAGGTCTCATTTTACTTTCTTTTGGATTCTTACCAGTTCATCTGTGTCTTTTGTAATATGTCATGCCTGAAACTGGCTGTAGAAGTTGGCTGAGGACTCATCTGCCTTTAGAAGATGACACAATTGTGTCTCTTGCCTTACCTCAGACATTTATTGCACCACAGATGCACATCTTTTGTTTTGCTTGTGTCTGATCAGTTTCTGTTTAACTGCCTCTCCACAGCATTTTTTAATGCACAGTTAATTTCTCCTTCCAAAGCACAGTACTAAGCAAATTCTTAGGTTTTGTCAAGTTGATTTTGGGTAGTCTCTCCAGTTTGCCTTATCTATCCTGCAGAGTGCCTGCCATCCCCTGGGGCTTGCAGACCTTCTCCTGTCTCTTTCATAGTTTGGATGGGACCTCACAGAGCTCCTTGCAGCAGGGATCTGCTGTCTTTTCCCCTGCTGCCAGGCACACTGGTGCTCAGTACTCATCTGCTGGCATTTCCTAAACACATTGCACTCTTCCATGTTGGTATTTCAGGCCTCCTGCTTTCCTTCATCGAGTCTTTGTGGTGCCTGTTATACCCCATACTTTTGGTTGGGCTATGAGGATTTTTAACGCTCCCTACTTATATTTTTCCTTACTTGCTGAATCTGTGTATAGGTGCTAAAAACGCTGGGCAGATTTAACATCCCACACTATTTTGCAAGTGATGGTAGTGTTTGGGGAAGGCTCAGACTGACTCCCAGCTGCCTTTAGAAACCACAGAGCAGCTGTGGAGCATTCCGCTGCGTTCCATTGATGGTCATAGAAAAGCAAAGTCATACAATAAGGAAGTTTCATGTGTGTTTCAGCCATGGGAACAAAGAAGTATTTTCTTGTCGAGGAATCAAATTGGCAGTAGACTGGTTTTTGGAAAGAGGCCACAAGGATGTTACTGTGTTTGTGCCAGCATGGAGGAAAGAACAGTCGAGACCTGATGCTCTTATCACAGGTAAGCTCTGTTCCACCTTAGTATCCTGAGTCCATCGTTCAGAGTTGCTTGGGATCTCCAGATTCCACACAGAGAAGGAGAAAATGCTTTCGCATAGGTGGTTGGCAGACTGTGTAGGATAAGAAGGAACTACATAAAATCTTAAGTATGCTTATTTAGCAGGATTAGAGAGAAAACTGTTTGGATTTGATAAAACCTTATATATAAACATGTAACCGTTCCAGGTAAGATACATTCTGAAGTATTACTGGAGATAAAAAAGAAGAAAAAATAAAACCAACCCAAGACACATATTTGCTGTTGGTTACAAGATGACATCAGAACTCTTTTTAGGGGATGCTGTTAATGTTTACGAAGAGCCAGAGTGCTTGTACAGAATGCAGATTTTTCTAGTCCTTCTGAGTACTAGTAGTGACACCTTCTCAGGAATATGTGTGTCTGTATGGGCAGAGATGAGACAGTCCCATTAACCTGAGCTACTGGAGTTATTTCAGAAGATGTTTCTTGCAGGGTACCACAAAGAGATGGAAGAGGTCTGTTTGTACCAAGGAGCTCAGTAATGGGAAATCCTTGGCTGTACTTGGGTGTAGCCCTCCTATTCGCTGAAACATTCCGTAATGTTTAAAAACGCCCCTTCAGTGAGAGAAGTTTTTCACAGGCATTTTGATAAATAGCGTTCCTTTTGAACCACAGGAACGTGTACAAGGTCCCCTGTGTTAGTCATAGAGAAATGGTGTGGAACAGGAGGTTTTAATTTCTTTGTGGGTTTTTTTTTGAAAGTATTGCCAGTTGGCTGCAGACTGTAACTTCAAATACCGTATATCAGACATCTTCTCCTGAAATATAACCACTTAAGACATAGAATCGTAGAATCAACTAAGTTGGAAGAGACCTTAAAGATCATATTTAGTCCTAAGTGCTTGGATTTTCTTCCTCAAATCTGGTGATTAAACAAACATATTTTTCTTCTCTTTCTTTTTAACTTTCAATTCTTATTCTTTGTAGATCAAGAAATCTTGCGTAAATTAGAAAAGGAGAAGATTCTTGTGTTCACGCCATCCCGCCGAGTGCAAGGGAGAAGGGTGGTATGCTATGATGACCGATTTATAGTGAAGTTGGCCTTTGAGTCAGATGGCATCATTGTTTCCAATGATAACTACAGGGATCTAGCTAATGAAAAACCTGAATGGAAGAAGTTCATAGATGAACGCTTGCTGATGTATTCATTTGTTAATGACAAGTAAGTCATTCTGTCTTTGTATGTGCCACTACAATAACTGAGGAAAGGACAGTTCGAAGACTTGTGTGAATTTCCTGTGTTACACCCAAATCATTAGGTACATGTGGGAAAACAGGAGAAATAGTGGATCATAGATTGGATCTTCTGATGAAAAGTACTCAAGCATTGATTTTTGATAGAGCTTTTTTATAACAATATCTTTAAATTTTTATGGTATTTTTTCCTTTTTTGGTATATGCCAATGTGTATTTGATACACGCTATGGTATAATAATCCAGTTCTCTTGATACACTGAGCCCGCATTTTTGAGTGCTGGTAGTTAGACTCCTAATCCTAGAGTCATAGAAAAACCCACGTTGGAATGACCCTCAGGAGGTCTTTACTTTAACTGTCTGCTTAGATCCACCTATGGTGTCTTCCTACCCTGGCATACAGATCAACTCAGTTACCACTGGTTGCTTCTTGTAGTGGGAGGGACTTTGTACTCTCCCAAGCAGACACTTGGATTTGAGTGCCTAGGTGCTGGTGCAAGAGTCCTGAACAATCAGCAGTTTTGCAGAGTTAGTTGTGGGGTTTCAAGCTTGTATTGCTGCCCTTACTTTGATTTAGGAATAGTTTGTGTGCAGCCCTGCTTTTTTTGCCACAGAGCAGTCAGCTGAGCTAAACTAAAGGTGTCTGAAGCAGACTAGGGATGTCCACACAGTCTGTTTCTCTAACTTATCTCTCGGATAGTACCTGCAGCAGAAAGGTGGCATTTCAAAACACCTCTCAAAATACTCAGGCTTAACAATGTCAGCATGGCAGGTTATGGTGTAGGACATAATCATGAGGTTCTTGGTCGTTGCATGAGGAATATGAAAAGGCTTGTTTGCTTTCATAATGTGTTTTGCTTTTTTTTCTTTATAGATTTATGCCTCCTGATGATCCTCTTGGCCGCCATGGGCCAAGTCTGGACAATTTTCTTAGGAAGAAGCCTATTGTGCCAGAACATAAGAAGCAACCGTGTCCATATGGTAATTTGATTTAACTCGTCAAGTTTTGTGCACTGGGGACAAGGTCCTGCTTTATGTTAACACTGCCAAAAATGAAAGCTTTTCAACAGAGGTTTTTACATGGTTGTCTTAGACTGGTTGAAATGGTTGAAATGCTGAGCTGATGGTGGGAAGTGAGGTGATTTTTTTTCATGTGCTAGCTAGAGAACATTTCTATCTACTAGTTGAACTAAAGGAGCAACTTCATTCATCATTCATAGGAATAGATCCAAAACAGCAAATAAATTCTGCAGGCTCAAGAAAGCCCTTTCATAATGTGATTTGGTCATAAGACATGTAATTTTCTTCCAGAAAATTGACTGAGCTGTCTGAAGTTTAGCTGCTGAGCATCCCCACAGGCACACCACCATTTTGACTGAGCTGAGACCTGCTGGCCTTATGACTCTTGACAATTTCCTTTTAAGTTTTCTGCCTGTATATCTCCTTGGCCCAATACAGCAGCTGTGTACAGACACACTGACAGTGTCATGTTCAGCTCAGGATGTGGCTGGTTATGTTGGCCTGCATTCCCAGAGCACTAGCTGCAGCACGCTATCACTGCCTCTTTTTCCCACAATACAAAGAGAGAAGATCTTAGATCTCACCCTGTGTTGCACAGAGCCATTTGCAAGATCCTTCAGGCATCAGTAAACATGTAAATTACAAACATTTTTTTGTTTGATGATTAACAGATTTTGATCTTGGTTGATTATAGTTTTTTACCTGTTTATGTTTGTATTAATAGGGAAGAAATGTACGTATGGACACAAATGCAAATACTATCATCCAGAAAGAGGAAATCAGCCTCAACGATCTGTAGCTGACGAACTTCGTGCCATGTCTAGAAGCACAGCTGCCAAAACTACAAGTGAAGGAGGACTGGTAAAAAGCAATAGTGTTCCCTGTAGCACTAAAAATGATGGCACTTGTGAGCTGAAGCGTGCTGCTCCAAAGAGGCAATCGGATCCTAGTATAAGGACTCAAGTCTATCAAGACTTGGAGGAAAAGCTTCCCACCAAAAACAAATTGGAAACCAGGTCTGTACCTTCTTTAGTTAGTATACCAAGTTCCTCTGCTGCAAAACCCCAAAGTACTGCACCTTTAACTAACGGCCTTCCATCCGGAGTTCACTTCCCACCTCAGGATCAAAGACCACAGGGACAGTATCCTACAGTGATGATGGCAACCAAAAATCACGTAACACCAATGCCTTATGACCAGTATCCAAAATGTGAGTCTCCTGTGGATGTAGGGTATTACTCTATGCTGAGTGCATATTCAAATCTAAGTGTATCTGGTCCACGTAGTCCTGAAAGGCGCTTCTCCTTGGACACAGATTATAGGATTAGCTCTGTAGCTTCTGACTGCAGCAGCGAAGGGAGCGTTAGCTGTGGCAGTAGTGATTCATACGTGGGTTACAGCGATCGTTCTTACATGAGTTCTCCTGACCCACAGCTGGAGGAGAACTTGAAGTGCCAACATATGCACCCCCATGGCCGCCTTAACACTCAGCCTTTCCTGCAGAGCTACCACGAGCCTCTTGCACGAGTGCAAAACTATAGTCATGAAGAACCAAAGCATCACCACAAACCTCCAATTCCGTACATGGCTGTGCATCTACAGCATCCAACAGTTGGTGCTCGTTCTAGTTGTCCCAATGACTACTCTGCATCTCAGAGTTCATCACACACCAAGACCGTGCATCTGGGGAGAGCCCTCGTGTCCACAAGAATAGACAGCATTTCAGACTCACGTTTATATGAAAATTCTCCATTAAGACACAGAAAGCCTTATTCTGGTCAAGATGGGCTTGGAAGTTGGGAGAGGCAAAGTTACGGGATGGATGCATATGGCTACCGCCAGACCTACTCCTTGTCGAGTAACCCCACACAGCAGTGTTATGAGCAGTTTGCCTTCCAAAGCTTACCTGAACAGCAGGACCAGACCTGGCGTATACCTTACTGTGGAATCCCTCAAGACCCTTCCAGGCACCAAGACACACGGGAGAAGGTTTACATTAACCTCTGCAACATCTTCCCCCCTGATCTTGTGAGGATCGTTATGAAGAAGAACCCTCACGTGACGGACGCTCAGCAGCTTGCTGCAGCCATCTTAATGGAGAAATCTCAGCTAGGTTATTGAGAGATGACGCATCTTTGTGGTGTCTAGTAGTTTTCAGCTCAGCTCTAATGCTGAGGGAGGTTTGCTACAATAGCATTTGGGATCTCCTTCTCAGCAAGGAGGTTATATAGTAATCCGTTTATGTGAAATACTGTATCATGGAGTCTGTATGTATAGCCCCATGCATCGGAAGTACCAGATACATTTTGTGTTCTAGTTTGAAATTTTTTAAATGGCTATTTTCACATCTGGAAAATGTTCCAGTTTAAATTAATATATATATATATATAAAAAAAAAATCTG